GCCTGGCCGAGAGAGTGAGACTCCAACTCAAAAAAAAAAAAAAAAAGAAAGAAAAGAATGTATACATTCTTAAAAAAAATACTGAAAACATTCATCTTAGCAACTTCTGATAAAAAGAAAAAAGACAAACTAGATTTTGATGTACCACTGACTTTTACCAAACTTGTAAGCGCTAGTTTATGAACAGGATCACAGCTCCTTTCCCAGTTACTAATACCCTGATTGCCTCAAATCCCCAGCGGGAATCACAGCTCTTTTCCAGTTACTGATACCCTGATTGCCTCAAATTCCTAGCAGGAAGTCCAAAACCCCTGCTGTAGAACCTAGACCTTGGTTCCTGCGGTGTTTCTCTGCAAAGGAGCCAGGGTCACCCCAGCATTCCTGTCTTCACTCTTGGAGTTGTAGAGATTGTGCTTTTTGATGTATTCTTGGACAAGATCTGGCACCAAGTAGCGAATGCTCTGGCCCCTCCGGAGGGCTCTCCGGATCTTCGTGGATGAGATGTCGTTAGGGATCCATTCGTACACCAGGTGAATGTTGCCCTGGTGCTGCCACAGCATGTCAGATTCATAGATGAACTTCTGAGCATCATTTCCAGCCCGAGTGATACATACCAGCCCATAGTCCGCCACGATTTGGGTGATATCCTCACTTTTCCACAGATTGGGAACACCGAAGGACTCTAAGAAATCTGCCCCACACAGCAGCTTGACCTTTGGCACACCTGGGAGGAAGAAGAGAAGAAGGAAACAGAGCTTTGGTTTGGGTTTGCTTTTTTTCTTTTTTTGAGTGGAAGTCTCACTCTGTCGTCCAGGCTGCTCACAGGCCACTGCAGCCTCAACCTGCCAGGCTCAGGTGATCCTTCCACCTCATCCTTCCAAGTAGCTAGAACCACAGGTGTGCACCACCATGGCCAGCTAATTTTTCTTGATTTATTGTAGAGACGAGGTCTCGCCAAGTTGCCAGGCTGGTCTCGAATCCCTGGGCTCAGGCAGTCCTCTCGCCACAGCCTCCCAAAGTGCTGGGATTACAGGCGTGAGCCACCACGTCCAGCCAGAGTTTGCTTTTCTAATAACCCCTGCATTGAAATGAAGGTGTGTGTGTTTCAAGAATGAGGGTCTACAGTTTTCATCAGATTCAGATTCCCAGAAGAGATTCAGGACACCCCCACGTTAAAGACCACCTCAAGAGAAATGAGTTCAGGGTGCCTTTGCTCTGCCTTCTTTCATAAAACTAACACGGAGCATTTCCAGACTCCCACAAGGATGTGGTGTGAAATGAAAACACCAGGGGCTTGCTCAGCTCTAGAGGCTTATCTGCTCTAGCTTGGAGTCCTGGGACACACACAAACCTTTGGATTTGGGCTCTAGGGATTTCTTCTGACTAGGGTCTTGCCTTTGTTCAGTCAACTTCCTCTTCCGTCCCAGTCTTTCAGGCGTAGGTGAGTTCTGTTGGTGACCATAGTTGCCAGCTTCCAGTTTCTCTTGATGGTGTCTAAAATGACAGAACAACAGAATGTTCCTCTTTCTCACAATGTTCCAGTACAATCTTGTTAACCAGAATGAATTCATTATCTCTAAGTGCCAGGAACTACACTACATCCTGGACATGGATTATCTGATTACATCTTCTCAACATGCTGTTTCATATATTTTTTTATTTTTGAGTTGGAGTCTCACTCTGTCGCCCAGGCTGGAGTGCAGTGACACACTCATGGCCACCGTGGCCTTGACCTGCTGGGCTCAGGCAATCCTTCCACCTCAGCCTTCCAAGTAGCTGGAACCACAAGTGTGTGCCACCATGCCCAGCTGATTTTTTGATTTACTGTAAAGACAAGATCTTACCATGTTGCCCAGGCTGGTCTCAAACCCCTGGGCTCAGGCAATCCTCTTGCCTCCACCTCCCAAAGTGCTGGAATTACAGGTGTGAGCCACCGTGCCCGGCCCATAAGTTTTATTATCCCCATATGGTGGGGGAAATGGAAGTTTAGCACGGCACACCCGGCTCCCAGTAGAATCCCTGGGACAGAAGAGGCATTCAATAACAATTTTTAAATGATTATTTATTGTTGTTATTATTACTTTGTAGAGGTGAGGGCTCACCATTGTGCCCGGGTTGGTCTTGAACTCCTGGGCTCACTGTTTCCGCCTCCCAAAGTGCTGGGGTTACAGGTGTGAGCCACCATGCCCGGCCATATTTTTATTTTTCAAGCATATTATTATACTGTTTCAAGCTCTGTTGCCCAGGCGAGCATGCAGTGGCTATTCAGAACCTGCCACAGGTCCCCCCGAGAAGTGTTTAGGTGGGACTGGGTATGGAGCAGTAGACAGTATCCTGCACTGTGGCTCATCAAAGGGACTTACTTTTCAGGCTTGGCAGTGAGAAGAGACTCCACTGCTTGATGGCAAAAAATTCTCCTGCCAGAGATCAAGCTCCTGGACCTCAGCCCCACCCAGCTCGCTCTGGCTTCATGGTAACCTCACGACCCACTACATAGTCAGCTCCGCTGCTCAGGAGGGAAGGGACTCAGTGGCAGGTTCTGGATGTGACTAAGATCCTGCAGGTAGGATTCTCTCCTGAGAGATTTGGGAGGCAGAAGCCACCATTCTGCAGCTGTGGAGCCTGACAAGCAATCTCTCAGGGTGTGAGTGTGGTGGCCAGGCTCCTCACAGTCCACTGTCCAGTCACCAACTTCAGGAGTCTGAGAATGACCAGGTGTGGTGGCCGACACCTGTAATCCCAGTGCTCTGGGAGGCCAAGGTGGGAGGATTGCTTGAGGCCAGGAGTTCAAGAAGCCTGAGACAGTTCAGTAGCAGCAGAAGCAGAATCGGTTTGCTGAGGTCCGACTGCAGCTAAGGAGACAGGACCTTAAAACACCCCAAATTCCCCTCCACTTGCCCTTCTACCACTCTTGCCTAAACGCCTAAGCTCCTTTCCTCTTCAAATACCCAGAGTGCTTTCGATTTCTTGCTCTGAACCCTAACTGTTCTGTTACGGTCAGTAACTGGCAAGGTTCAGAACACTAAGAACAGACATTAGACAGAAGGCCCTTCAGAAAGCACTTCTTTAAAATCTTGGGTTGAAGTCTCACTCTGTCTTCCTGGCTGGAGTGCAGTGCACGCTCACAGCCACTGCAGCCTCGACCTGCTGGGCTCAGGCGATCCTTCCGCCTTAGCCTTCCAAATAGCTGGAACTACAGGAACACACCACCATGCCTGGCTAATTTTTTAATTTATTGTAGAGATGCGGTCTCCCCAGGTTGCCCACACTGGTCTTGAACCCGCGGGCTCAGGCAATTCTCTCACCTCAGCCCCCCAAAGTGCTGGGATTATAGGAGTGAGCCACCATGCCCAGTCTCAGAAAGCCCTTTTATTCAAAGATAACATTAAGAAATAATTAGATGCTACTCTGGTTTCTGAACTCTTTTTTATTTTTGAGTTGGAGTCTCACTCTGTCGCCCATGCTGGAGTGCAGCCTCGACCTGCTGGGGTCCGGCGATCCTTCTGCCTCAACCCTCTAAGTAGCTAGAACTACAGGCATGTGCCACCATGCCTGGCTAATTTTTCTGATTTATTGTAGAGACGAGTTCTCATCAAGTTGCCCAGGTGGGTCTCGAACCCATGGGCTCAGACAATCCACTCGCCTCGGCCTCCCAAAGTGCTGGGATTACAGGCTGAGCCACAGAGCCCGGCTGGTTTCTGAACTCTTAACTGAAACAGTTTCAAAGGCATGAGTGAAGACATTATGATCCCCCATGCTGCCCTGCACACAAAATTAGGCCTGTCCATGATCAAGCAGCACTTGATGCTTCTCTTCCTTAAATTACCTACCTGTCTCTCTCTCTTATTATTTTGTGTGTGTGTGTGTGTGTGTGTGTGTGTGTGTGTGTGTGTGTTGGGATCTCATCTGTAGTCCAGGTTGGAGTACAGTGGCATGATTACAGCTCACTGTAGCCTTGACCTGCTAGGCTCAGGCAATCCCTCAGTCTCCTAAGTAGCGGGACTACAGGCACGTGACACCATGCTCAGCTAATTTTTAAAAATTTTTTGTAGAGACAAGGTCTTGCTATGTTGTCTAGTCTGGTCTCGAACTCCTAGGCTCAAGCGATCCTCCTGCCTCGGCCTCCCAAAGTGTTGGGATTACAGGTGTGCCCACTGCACTGGCCATCATTTATACCCAGGAAGACTGAACGACTATAACATCCCCTTACAATTTTGTCTTACTCATTTAGGGCACAGACAGGCTAGACAGGCGCCTTCTATTTTCTTTTTTTTTTTGAGTTGGAGTCTCACTCTGTCACCCAGACTAGAGTGCAATGGCCGCTCCCAGCCACCGCAGTCTCGACCTGCTGGGCTCCGGTGATCCTTCCACCTCAGCCTTCCAAGTAGCTGGAACTGCAGGCGCGCGCTACCACGTCTGGCTAATTTTTGATTTACTGTAGAGATGAGGTCTCACCAAGTTGCCCAGACGGGTCTCGAACCCGCGGGCTCAGGCAATCCACTCATCTCAGCCTCCCAAATGGCGGGATTACAGGCTGAGCCACCGAGCCCGGCTCCTTCTATTTTCTAACAGAGATATTGTGTAGAAGCAAACATGCAAGCATCTCAAAACGTAACGAAAGACATGGAGGTAAGGAATACCCATCCTCTGTTGCTGTGCTCTACACTCCAGAAGGAAATGTAAACTTCCACTGGAGAGGCATAGCCGAAGCCTTTCCAGCCCTGGCGACAATTCTGCAAATCTGTATGTTCACAGATGCAGGCAGCATTGAAACATGGCAAAAAGACACAGGAGCTCCCTTTGCCACCCACAGACAAAGCTGATTCACCATGGATACCTTAGCACCTTAACAGTCTCTATCCACTCTTTCTGAAGACTTTCCCATGTGTCCACTTCCACCCATTCTGAATTCTTGGTGGCCAGTTCTGCCATGATAACTCGGTGATGGGCAGGGATGAGTCCTTTCTTCTTGTATGCATCACCAACAGGAGAAATGATGCCTTTGATGACTGTGTATTTTCCTGGATAAAGAGTTAGGTTTGATTATAAGGTATAATAAATTAGATTTTATACATTGGAAATATTATAACCAATATTGTTTTGTAATCACAGATTCCCTCCCTTTTTTTTGTGAGTTGGAGTCTCACTCCTTTACCCAGGCTGGAGTGCAGTGGCACGCATGTTCATGGTCACTCCAGCGTGGACCTGCTGGGCTCTGGCCATCCTTCCGCCTCAGCCTTCTGCGTAGCCGGAACTACAGATGCACGCTACCATGTCTGGCTATTTTTAAAATTTTATTGTAGAGACGAGGTCTCACCAAGTTGTCTGGGCTGGTCTTGAACCCGTGGGCTCAGGCAATTCACTCGCCTCGGCCTCTCAAAGTGCTGGGATTACAGGCTGAGCCACCGAGCCCGGTCCCTCCCCTTTTTAAAAAAAAACAGGGATTCAGGTTTATTAATTGATTGATCAATTCATTGAAACTCTGGTAAAATATACTTAAAATGTACCACTGTAACCATTTTAAGTGGACATTTCTGTGATATTAAGTACATTCACACTGATGTACAACCATCACTGCTATCCATCTCTAGAACTGTCTCATCTTCCACAACTAAAACTCTGCATCCATTAAATACTAACCATTCATTCCCCTGCACAGGTTACATTGTGATTGATGTGACCAAATTATTTTGTCAAAAGCTTTTATCAATTTAGAGGGTGCATGCAAGAGTCCACTTCTCTCCAACTTCCTTTTTTTTTTGAATTGGAGTCTCACTCTGTTGCCCAGACTGGAGTGCAGTGGCACACTCCCAGTCACCACAACCTCGACCTGCTGGGCTCCAGCGATCCTTCTGCCTCCGCCTTCCAAGTAGCTGGAATTACAGGCATGCACTACCACGCCTGGCTAATTTTTGATTTATTGTAGAGATGAGGTCTCACCAAGTTGCCCGGGTGGGTCTCGAACCTGCAGGCTCAGGCAATCCACTCACCTCAGCCTCCCAAGTGCGGGATTACAGGCTGAGCCACCGAGCCGGCTCTCTCCAACTTCTGATACTTAATACTATCATGTTTTAATACTTTTGTCAGTGTGATGGGCATACTAGATATCATTTTTTATTTGAGTTCCCTGATTATCAGGATTATCAGCCAGTTTTACCATCCACACATCCATCTACCTATCAGCATACTGCATGATCATGTATGTAATAAAAAAATCTATAAATATACAAAGTCTGTATATATACAAATATTTGCATGTAAATTCATACAAGTCTGGAAGGACATATTTTTAACTGTTTTTTTTTTTTTTAAGGCAGAGTCTCACTCTGTCACCCAGGTTGGAGTGTAGCTCCTAGCTACTGCAGCCTTGACCTGCTGGGTTCAGGCGATCCTTCCACCTCAGCCTTCCAAGTAGCTGGAACTGCAGGCATGAACCACCACACCCATCTAATTTTTTGATTAATTGTAAAGACACGGTCTCGCCAAATTGCCCAGGCTGGTCTTGAACCCCTGAACTCAGGCAATCCTCTCGCCTCAGCCTCCCAAAATGCTGAGATTACAGGTGTAAGCCACCACGCCTGGCCTACTTTAAACTGTTAAGAGGCCAGGTGTGGTGGCTTATACCTGTAATTCCAGCACTTTGGGAGGCAGAGGCAAGAGGACTGCCTATAATCCCAATAAAGTTCAAGGCTGCAGTAACTACTGCTGTAATCGTGCCACTGTGCTCTAGTCTGGGCGACAGAGTGAGTCTCCAAACTCAAAAAATAAAATAAAATTAAAAAATCGCCATGTATATATTTATTATAAGAGACTAAATACGTTATAAAAGAGTAAATATTTATATATTTACCCAATATAGTTACCTGTATTGGGATTACAGGTATGAGTCACCACGCCCAGGTCAAATTTCTAGTTTAGAAAAACCATTATGGGCTAGGATGCAGTGGCTCAGCCTGTAATCTTCCAGCCCTTTGGGAGGCCGAGGCAAGAGGATTGCTTGAGCCCGGGGGGTTCGAGACCAGCCTGGGCAACTTGGTGAGACCTCGTCTCTACAATAAATCACACACACAATAAACTAGCTAGGCATGGTAGCATGTGTCTGTAGCTCCAGCTACTTGGAAGGCTGTGGCACTGCACTCCAGCCTAGGTGACAGAGTGAGACTCCAACTAAAACAAACAAACCACCCAAAAGAAAAAAAACCGCCGGGCTCGGTGGCTCAGCCTGTAATCCCACGCCTTTGGGAGACCGAGGTGAGTAGATTGCCTGAACCCGTGGGCTCGAGACCCACCTGGGCAAGTTGGTTAGACCTCATCTCTACAATAAATCAAAATGAGCCAGGCGTGGTAGCACGCGCCTGTAGTTCCAGCTACTTGGAAGGCTGAGGCAGAAGGATTGCCGGAGCCCAGCAGGTCGAGGCTGCAGTGGCTGGTCACTGCATTCCAGTCTGGGTGACGGAGTGAGACTCCAACTCAAAAAAAAAAACCATTATGGAATAATGTAGACAAAACGCCAGTGGAGAAAGGGAGAATAGATTAAAGAGCAGGGCACTGTGGCATCAGGCTAGCTGGGTGCAGATTTGCCTCCAACAGCAAGTGCTTGCTCTGCTCTGACCTCCCTTGTCCCACTCACACGATTTCTTTACTCTCTACAAAGTCACTGAGGAAAAGAAACAGTATTTACATGCACAGATATAAACCCGTTATGAGTGACTCCCTGGATGAGGTGGAATGATATAAAAGCAATGTTTCCTTATGAAACAAAAACTCAAGTTTTAAGGATTAGAATATCATTACTGTTTCTTCCAATAGACTCTAAGTATATAAATCTGAATTTTTTTGGCAAGTTGCTCAATTCTTCCTGGACAAACCTCACCCTCTTTCTTGGCTAAGTCTCTGATCATGAGAACAGGGCAGCAGGTTTGTACCCAGTTGACCAAATGTGTATTCTGACAGACCCAGTTATATTGTTCTCTGGTCTTAAGATGCTTTTGGTTACTTTCCTACCTGTTCCATTCATGTAGTCCTTGGCCAGCTCAAACAACCTGAGGTGCATGTTGGTGATGGGATTAAAGGAACCACAAGCAAGAAGAACTACTTCTGTCTTCTCTGAATTTTCCATGTTAAGAATTTGAAGTTGTTGGTCTAAATAGAAAACAGTGACACCTTCCTCATTGTCTACAAAGGAAACAAAATAAGTTCAGTGACAGATATTCTGATAGCCTTCCATGTTCTCAATCCAAACAGATGGATAAACAAACTTGGCTTCAATGAGTATGCTAGACGAACTGCAAACACGGCTCTGTTTCTCCATCTCTCCTTGTCATCATGAATTTGCAGCTCTTACCATAAAGGGATGGAATCGACTTCCCCACTCTTTGTGACTTACTTCAGTCAAAAGAACGCAGCAGAAGTGACAATGTGCCAACTCTGAGTCTAAGCGGCTGGCTTTGTACACTTCCACTCCTTTTGGACTGCTGCCTCTGCCAGGAGAATAAGGCCAGGTTAGACTGTTGGGGGACAACAGAACACGTGGGAGAATGGATGCTCCAGTGGACTGACTCCCATCTGCTCCATATGTGACTGCAGTGGCTCAGAGCAACCACACCACAGCCAACCTGCTCAGACACACGAGCAAGCCCAGGTGAGATCGAGCAAGCTGAACTTGCATCAGCAAACAGGCTGGCCTAGGTCTCATGAGCCAAAACGAATGTTTATGGCTGTATGCCACTCAAGTTTTGTCACTGCACTACGTGGCCACAGTTAATTGACACATTTATATTATTATTACTACCAAATATAACTCGATTACCAACCTGCCCTTCCAAATGGTGTTTTGTCTTTTAATCAACATGATCATATAATATCACTTTCCACTGAAAAATATTTAATTTAATTTAATTTATTTATTTATTTTGAGTTGGAGTCTCATTCTGTTGCCCAGGCTGGGGTGCAGTGGCATGCTCATGGTCACCATAGCCTCGACCTGCTGGGCTCAGGCGATCCTTCCACTTCAGCCTCCCAAGTGGCTGAAACTACAGGCACGCACCACCACGCCTGGCTAATTTTTTTGATTTATTGTAGAGATGACGTCTCACCAAGTTGCCAGGTCGGTCTTGAACCTGTGGGCTCTGGCAATCCTCTCACCTCGGCCTCCCAAAGTGCTGGCATTATAGGTGTGAGCCACCGCGCTCAGCCCTGAATAATATTTTATAATTTATAAACCTCTTTTTCATAACAATTATTCCATTTGATCCCTCCATAACCCTAATGAAGCAATGCAAGATATATGATTTTAAATTTTTGTTAAACTAATTTATGCTTATAGATTTAGAAATCATAGGGTGAAATCCCAGCACTTTGGGAGGCTGAGGTGAGTGGACTGCCTGAGCCCGAGGGTTCAAGACCCACCCAGTCAACTTGGCGAGACCTCGTCTCTACAATAAATTTTTAAAAATTAGCCAGGTGTGGTAGCGCGCGCCTGTAGTTCTGGCTACTTGGAAGGCTAAGGCGGAAGGATTGCTGGAGCCCAGCAAATTGAGGCTGTGGTGGCCGGGAGCATGCCACTGCACTCTAGTCTGGGCGACAGAGTGAGACTCCAACTCAAAAAAAAAAAGAGAGAGATAACCACTCTGAGAACTTATACTTCCAGTGATGCAGTCTTGTTTAAAATATTTTGAGAACTTTTGGGAACTTATTTGTAGAGCTTGAAGCTTTTTTTTTTTTTTGAGTTGGAGTCTCACTCTGTCACCCAGGCTGGAGTATAGTGGCACACTCAGGCCACCACAGCCTTGACCTGCTGAGTTCAGGTGATCCTTCCAAATAGTTGGAATTATAGGGACGCACAACCACGCCTGGCTAATTTTTTGATTTATTGTAGAGATGAGGTCTTACCAAGTTGCCCAGGATGGTCTTGAACCCATGGGCTCAGGTAACCCTCTCACCTCAGTCTCCCAAAGTGCTGGAATTATAGGTGTGAGCCACCACGCTGGCCTGAAGCATTTTTATAACTAACATGGAAATATAGCAAATGACAATAAACACATAACAGGCATATGCTACTTTTCAGCTTATAAAATTATTTTAGGCCAGGCTCAGTGGCTCAGCCTGTAATCCCAGCACTTTGGGAGGCCGAGGCGAGTGGATTGCCTGAGTCCGTGGATTTGAGACCAGCCCAGGCAACTGGTGAGACCTGTCTCTACAATAAAATAAAAAAAAAGCTGGGCGTGGTGGCACACATCTGCAGTTCCGGCTACTCGGAAGGCTGAGGTGGAAGGATCGCTGGAGCCCAGAAGGTTGACGCTGGGGTGACTGTGAGTGTGCATGCCACTGCACTCCAGCCTGGGAGAAGGAGTGAGACTCCAACTCAAAAAAAAAAAAAAAAGAAAAATTATTTCATACACATTATCATTTAATCTTTGCCACAAAAGACAAAATTTGGCTGAAAGCATTTTGTGTGTTCCAAATAACGATCTATAGTTGTTTAGTTTTTCCAGTTAATCTTCTACAATTAGACTTTGAGGTTTTCCTTTTTCCTTGAGTCAGGGTCTTGCTCTGTCGCCCAGGCTACCAGACTGGAGTGCAGTGGCTCACAACTCACCGCAGCCTCGCCCTCCTGGGCTTAGGTGATCCTTTAGCCTCCCAAGTAGTAGGTACTGCAGGCATGTGCCACCACACCTGGCTAATTTTTTGATTTTTTGTAGTGATAAGGTCTTGCTATGCTGCCCAGGCTGGTCTTGAGCTCCTGGGCTCAAACAATCCACCAGTCTTGACTCCCAAAGTGTTAGGATCACAGGTGTGGGCCACCATGCCCAGCCTGGACATTTAGGTCTAATTTTTCACTATTACAAACATCTCAACAAAGAAATAATGGGTTAAAAATGAATCGGAAATTAAGGCTACAGAACACGTCACTGTGCACTTCTAAGACTTGCCAGTACTCGGAAGACCGGTGTCAGAGACTATATATTTGTAGCCCAATAGTGCTCAGAGCCGACTGCCAGGCTGGCCAGCCTGCTTTTGTCCAGACTTTATGCTCTCAGTGGACAAAACCTGCGAGAAGTATACCAGGGCTGGAGTTCAGATCTCCCACCTCCCAGGATCCCTCTCCAAGAAGGTGGGAGGTGAGCTAGGAGAGTGTACACCAAAACTCAGCCCTCAGAGCTAAGTTGAGGAATGTGAACTTTAGCCCCTTAGACAATGGGAAACTTCGAAAGGTCTCTGAGCAATGGAGGATGACAGGGTTCTAAAAAAAAGTGTTCCAGAAAAATAACATGAGACGGGTCTTAAGGCCCTTTATTTGGTTGTGTGAGCTTGATTTAATCACTTAACCCTGCCTCTTTAGTTTCCTCGCCAGTACTAAGGGGATGACAGGACCAACCTCGGTTATTATGAGGCTAATACATAATAAATGTTTAGCATACTGCCTGGCACAGTGTTGCAATGAATGACAGCTGAAATTTATGAGGAAAGTGATGATATAGATGATGGTGATGATGTGGATTAATTGGGAGGGGCAAAACAAGACAGGAAGGGTAGCTATAAAGTCACAAGGGCCTCAACTGAAGTAGTCAGTGGAAATGAAAACAAGAAACATAACTAGGCTGGGCGCGATGGCTTATGCCTGTAATCCCAGCACTTTGGGAGGCCGAGGTGAGACGATTGCCAGAGTCCAGTGGTTCGTGACCAGCCTGGGCAACATGGCGAGACCTCATCTCTACAATAAATCAAAAAAGAATTAGCCGGCCTAGTGGTGCACATCTGTAGTTCTAGCTACTTGGAAGGCTGAGGTAGAAGGGTCGCTTGAACCCAGCAGGTTGAGGCTGCGTTGGCCATGAGTATGCCACTGCACTCCAGCTGGGGCAACAGAGTGAGAGCCCAACTCAAAAAAAAAAAGAAAGAAAAAGAAACATAACTGAGGCCTTCCCCAGACATGGCACGGTGGTGGGATTACAGGGGCACAGTTAATTGTTGATACAAAAAAAGGAGAAGGGTCAGTCATGGTCAACATGGCATTAAAAAAGTAAGTTAATAGATAAGAATGATTTCAATATCCTACCTTTTAGTTATCATCCCGAGAATGATACCAGAATTCACTTGGAGCTTGTATCCGGCCCTCCTATCCCCGCTCTGCCCCCTACTTCCCACACAAAGTACCTGTGGTATCATGGGCTGGTGATGAATATAACATCCCACAGTACCAAGAGGTAGCTGCCCGCCTGAGCATGCGCTCAAAGACCGTGGTGGGGGGAGGGGGGACTGGTGCTGCCTGTCAGTCCCAGCCCCGCCCATCTCAGGTTTCAGGTGCCTTTTCCCCAGAGAGGATGAGATAGAGGAAAGGTAAGGCTGAACGCATCAGGTATGGGTCCTCAAGGGAGCTGCCTGTGGTCCAGAAACAATTCAGGGAAGGCTGGAACCTTGGGAATGAGTTCAAGTTTCCAGGTGATCCCCAAGGGAGAGGGAAGGGCTAGAGGTGGGTGATCTCTCAGCATAAAGGAAGCTGTCTTTCTGCTTTGTCATGTTCATAACCTGTCTCAAATATCCAGCTCAGTTCCACTCATTCTCTGTGAACACAGCGAACCTGAGCTAAGGCTAGACTCAAAGCCTTAAAGCCACAGATGGGCTAAGGTTACAGCGAGCTCTGACTTCAGCCCAAGGTGGGTTTAAAAGTATCAGGATCTGTCCCTCTCCCAGGGAATACTCCCTCTGTATCCCTGGGGGTATGTGTGTGCCTAGGAAGGGGGTCATGGCAGATAGTGGAACAGCAGGAGTAGTCTGGAAGCTGCAAGGGGATGTCTGGGATCCTTCCTGCCTTGCTTCAGGTACCACGAGACCAGCGTCACCATGATCCACTTCTGTTTGGCCCACACAGCCTATCACTTGCACTGCTGGCTGCCGAGAACTCATCAGCTCAGGCTGTAAGTGTCTGTCCCCCCGCTCTTTGACAATGAATTCATTTCCTTCTGAGGCAGACTTGAGATTTAACTAAAACTTACTTTTTATTTTAAAATTCTGACCTTTTTAAATTTTAAAAACACTGAGTATAAACATTAATGTAACATTTTATGGACATCAAGCCAGTTTTTAAAATATCAACTTTTCAAAAGGAACACGTAAATCTGTTTGGCTCTCCCTGTCGCATGTCTCAGGACGCTCAATATTAAACCTGAGTT